AACAATTGTCTAAAAACTTTAGGGAAGTATTGAAATATTAATAGACCATTTTTTTTAAAAGGAACATAAATTTATAATGTTGTATAAGAGAAAATGAAATAAATTCTAATTATACTTGGATCTTCTGACATTTTTGAGTTGGAGCAAAAATGCTTTATAACAGATTGTAGCTTTGTTGTTTACAAAACCACTAGGGGCCTTTGACAGCTTTACAGTCACCGTGAAATCAGATCAAAAAGGTTTAATACATGTTGCAGATAAATCGTCATTTGTTTGCTACGTTCCGAGAATTTCCAAAAAAAAATACTTCTATTAACTAACCAATCGATGCAATTTATTATTGCAATTAGTTTTATAAATACAAAAATATAAAAAAAATCAACTGCGAAGAGTGTTTTAATCAATTTTAAATTAGAAAAAGTAAAATTAAACTCTTGCTGAAAATGCTTGCTTGAAAAAGAAAAATAATCATTCAGTGTGATGGCCGCCAATATTGAAAAATACGAAATAGTCTGCCAAATTGATTCAAAAACTACGTGTTTGAACATACAAGTTTTTTGTATATATTTTCTTTCTTTTCAAGTTTAAAACCAAATATCCATCCGATACAGTTCTAACTCGACAAATAACTCATAGTATAATAAAAAAAACTTTACGATTTATATGTCATAAACATTTTAACTGGTTTTCATATACCCACTGCAAAATTGACAAACTAAATAAATGATCACTTTGTGGAATTCTATCAGCAAAAGTGAGTCGAAGAAAAAATCTTGCGTAATACTGTCATTTACAGTTATGAGGTTTTTTGGTTAAATTTATTTTATGCGGTATATATCTTCAAAACGTCAAAATAAACATATCACAAAATCCGAATAAATCTGAGATCAATATTTACTAGCTGAGCCGAAAAGACATATCGAATTCACTGGTTCTCCAAATAATAAAATGTCGAAAAGCATTTTAGAAGGTCGCGATTGACATGAAAAATGTTCTCGTTCCATTTAATAGTAACTTAATTATAAAATATTATTAAAAAATATGTCTTAGACATATAAAAAAATTTCATTCAAATATTTTTAAAGTGTATAGAATAAGAAAATAATGGAAGTTTTAACCATATTTTTAAATTATATATTAATATACAGTGTGAGTCTTCAATAAGTGCAAATATTTTCAGGGCTGGTAGATCTCGATAAAAGAGTTATATATTATCTTTCCTGCTTTTCAAATTAGTCCAAAGTAATTAAGTTATTCATGTTTGAAAGTTTACAATAAAATAGATTTATTTAAAAAAAATTGAGTTACCGAAAAGTTTTCTAAGATATACAGGAAAATCTAAAAGAAAATACAAAACTTTCAGCATATTATTTTGCGAAAAAGATCATAATTGTCGTGTTCCTGGGGTCGAAATATACCACCCCTAAAAATATTTGCACTTACTTAAGACTCACCCTGTACAATTAAAAAAGTAACAAAAATAAAAGGCTATAGTATATTTTCTTTGTGCTTGTTGTCACTTGTGTCGAATCTAATATTCTACAATCTAAAATATATTTGATCAGGTAATGTTAGGGTACTCCATATTGCACCACTGAGCTAATTGCTCTTTACATAAGGTCTCTAAGCGTTGTATGAATATTTATAGATGATATTGACAGATATTATGTAGTTTATTGGGATTGTAAACAGAATAGAGATGCCTATTGGAATAAAGCTTAATTTTAACTTTTGCCCTTAACCCAGAAATGTCTATTTTTATGGCTTTCCTATGCGTGCCCTTGCCCTCAAATTTGCGTGTATGCATGCAGATGTTTAAATTACCTCCGCTCAGAAGCAGTGTGCAATTTAATTATGCTATCGATAAATATATTGAAGCGTTTTACAGTGTGTCACATTTTTGTATGTTTTGCAGGGCTTCTTGTGTATGGGTAGAGCTACAAAGATGCGGATTTCACATCAGTATACTACTTTTTTTTAACATGCTACACATCTGGATTAGGTAGAACAAATCTGGATTTGTCTTAACCCTCTCAGTTCCTAAAGCACAGGGCGAAATTAAAAATGTTGCATTTTTCAGTTTATAACCCAATCCAACACCCTTCGTATCTCGGTTATCTTATAACTTATCGAGAAGGTAAAAACTGAGTCCCATAGCGTTTTTTACTTAGAATTCAGTGAAATAACTAGATTTTTCATTTTTAGTGGGATATTTAAAAACATTAATAACTCTGATTGACAGCGTGTTGTCTAAAAGCTGTACAAGTTTATTTTCATTGCAACGAAAACCCCCATAAACCACACGAAAATGGGCCACCCTGTACATATGATGTAAATAGTTTTGTTATTAATCTTTAATAGATTAATAGATTTAGGAAGTGGTTTCTTTAAGTACAGAGCACTATAATTCCTTTTTGTTTTTAGCATCAATTATTTAAAGAAAAAAATCATATTACAGGAATATCAAATAGTAAGCTATTTTCGAAAACACTTTGAACAAATATCTTTCTGGATTTTCATAATAACACCACTAGGTGACTAAAGTGTATCCAACAACTCAGAGAAAATTTCGACAGAACACATCCAAGGCATGGCACAATTTAATTGTGAATTAAAATGACATGTTTTTGTAATTTCTTCTTTTGGAAACTTAAGTCCTGTGTATTGTGAATAGAAAGTGTAGTCCTATTTGCTTCCAAAAATTATCTGTGTCGTATGATAAACGCTGCTTTGTAATACTGTAATTTAATATGTTTGTAATTATCTGTTTTCGAAATTTAAAACTGGTGTATTGAATTGCATTGAAAGTTTCTCTCAGCCCATTGGTTAAACTACTGTAGTTAATTGTCGCTTATCTAATAAAATTAATAATCCTCAACTGATTCCGGCTCATCCCAGCTTTCTAATAATTAATGATGCAGTCGAAAACAGATTTCGGTAAAGTTCTGAATGAAAAGGAAGCGAGTGCTTATCAAAATGGGTGTTGATTGGCAGATCAATACACATTCTTGTTGAAAAAAAAACAGACCAAAAGAATGCTCTTTGGTTTATAGAAAGGAAATTTCCTGTAATAGGCTGACAAAATAAATATTAAATTTATACCAAAAGAATTTAATTTTTAACAATTGACAATTGCGCATCATAAATCAAAAAGTTATGACAATAACAAACAAAGATAAATGTATTTCTTTAAGCTATTTTAGCTGCGCATTAAAGTATAAAATTATATTGAATAAATAAAATTTCAGGGTAATAAATAACTATTCATTATGGTGGGTAGTTATCAATTAACAGCAGCAAACAAGATAAAATGTGCAAGGAAGTAAAGTTCCATTTGCAGCTAAAACAGCTGAATTTAAGCCTTCTATAAGATAAACGACCATTGTCAGATGCTTAAAATAAAACTTGGAAATCGTATGTCGATAAAAGTGCTAAGTAATAATTGCCTGGAATAGAAAGATATATTCTTAATGAGTCTTATCATAGTGTTGAACATATGTAAGATGGCTAGTTTATTTTTTTTAGTTAGACTAAAAAGTTTTCCACATAACCAACGAAGGATATGAAATAGACAGAATTTATATTAGGGGAATGTAGCTGAGTGTAATGGTTTGATGTAAAATGTTAATTTTTATCTCATTTTTTTTGTTTGGCAATAAATAAATACCAATTTCGCGATTTATGATATGGCTATTACAAATACAATAATCACTTCCTTTTGAGAGTCCCTACTGCGGGGACCTGGTGATTTTCCCACTGCGGGCACCATTCACTTGATTTTAATAAATGACAATATATCGATACAACAGACACTATTCAGTGGGGAAAAAAATAAAAGTAGGTAAATTCGTTTCACTTTTTATTTAATTTGTTCCATTTTAAAGCAAGCATTGATTGTTTTATTGCTTACATTAGGGCTCATAGTTCCGGATCTGCGTTTCATCACGTCAACGTTGCAATTGACGCAGTTTACATTCCTACTGCCAACTCGACCGTTGTATTTTTTTTGCTAGGGCTGATTTATTACAGAAATCGTTGGTAAATTTGTCAGATCCATACACTTGGTATTTGAATTGCAAAAACAAATTATTTTATTGCCAAATTGATTAACAAGTCAAAACAAAATTTTTATTGTCATGAAAATCTTCGATTCTTATGTAAAACCACATTTTTTCAGCATTATTTGTTATGATAATATTTACACGTTAGAGAGATAAAATATGACTTTTAAGTTAGTAGAATCTTCTCATCAGTTGATTTTTTTTTGGAAAATCTATATATTTTCCGGAAACCGCAAGCCCTTGATGAATTTTAATTTTTTTAAGTCTTTTTTATATTAGAGAAAAATTAAAGCAATTAACTTTAAGATGTTTATACACTGCTAAACTAAAAAGAAATCCTAACATAATAAAAATATACATTATCTTTATAATAAAAGTTTAATTTATATATACCCAATTAAATAAGCCTCTCTCCATTCCAATAGCATTATTAATCAGTAATGGGAATGAATACTATAATAACGTATATTACAGTAATATTCTATAATATTATACTTAACAAAATTAAAATTAATTGCACTGGATGCTATTCTAATAATTAATATTAATTATTAAAACACTCACATTTAAATTACATTAGCTAATTTTGAGTAAATTAAAAACAAATAGAAATGTGCAAAACTATTGAATAATAGCAAAAATCTTTCTAAAATATATCCTACTTTAATCATTTAACAGTTTTAAATTAAAGACTTAACTTTAAGTCTATAATATACAGAGTGTAAATTAAGTGCGAAAAAAATTCTAGAGATTATTTATTCAAAAAATAAATGGGAATTTTGACTACTATATCAGATACAAAATTGCTTATGCCGGGTGAGCCAAAATCACAATATGCATTCTAAAATGAATGAAGATTGCTTTTAGATTTTAAGTGTTTTTGAAACAGCAAGTCTCTATATAGATATTATTCTTATTTTTCTTTTCTTTTGTTTTTAGGGACAGGAAAATCTTTATGCGGATAACAACACGTTCAAGTGTCTGCCATGTTCGGAAGGGTGCGAGTCATGTACAGATGGTCGTCCTTGTGTTGTAACCTTAAACTGGATGATGAGAACTTCAATTCTGGCATTGTCCTGCGTAATTGCTTGCTGTTTACCCGTAATACTCTTTTTTACGTGGAAATGGCAACATATGAAGGTAACTATAATCACATTCTTTGTATAAAAAGTAGTATATCTACTAGTTACTTATTTACCGAAGTTTTTTTTAATATTAATCATCTATATTTACGCACAGCATTTTTCTTTTGTAAATGTCTTCTAATATGTTATAGCTTTGAAAGTATTAGATAAATTTCTTATAGAGAAAAAGAATTTATAGAAGATCGGAAATAGAAGAAGAAATAAACGGAATTATTGTTAACTTGTGTGAATTATATTTACAACTCGGTTTTGAAATATTACACCTTAGTACTTCTCAAAATAAATCAAGCAATTTAAAGAAATAGTAGTACTCGGGTTTTCTTTTAATAGTTTGTACACGGCAGGATCTAGATATTAAGAGCTGGGTTGTATAAAACCATAATTTGAACTTCGAGCTCTAGGTAACAGCCAATTTTCTTCCAACTTTCACATATTTATTGGACATCTGTGCAAGTTTTTTTCTTTATTACTCGTACCTCTCTTGTTTCTTAATGTTTCCTTGCAAATTTTCACGTAACACTTACGTTATTACTAAAAGAAGTTTGTTGTAGGCCTACAAAGTGTCGAATGTTTATATTTTGATTTACATATGAATATAAAATCTAAAAATATGTCATGAAGATAACTATATTTTTATTCTCAGTAGTTTGCTAATTATCGTTTTAAAAGTTAAGCAAAGCAGACATAAAAGTTTTTTTATATATTTAAGTAGGATGAACCTTAATACAGCAAAACTGTCCCAGAGTTTCACATTATAAATTAATGACAATTATGCAACTCCCCCTTAAATCTTACCTTTCAAATTTTACAAACTTCCCCTGCCTTATATTGAACATGTAAAGTTAATTCAAGTTAGTTAAATAGACGTGATTTTCAAACCTACGCTCACTCGAGACGCGAGACGTTAAAGTATCATTATCTTATTGCTTTCTTGGCGATATCTTCCGAAGTCTAAACAACTACTTGCAGTATTAAGATTTCCTATCACTACTAAGTGCCTTAGCACGTTTTATCGCAATATGTCAATCAGAGATGTAAGAAAACAGTCGTTAACACAGTACCATACATAAAGCCCGTATCAGTGATTTTGCTAATTAACATATATGATATATTTTATTAATTTTATCTCTTCATTTCTTGTTTTAATACATACATAATAACTTTTAGTGTTTTTTGTCTAATTACCAGATTTATTAAATTCAAAATTTATCTTAATAACTTATAATGTGACTTTCATATACAAATAGGTTATGTTTAAATTGAGATTCTTATAAAATTAAATCATTATGCTTCTGACGACATAATAAAATGTAACGCATCTGCTTAAGTAGAGTATTAATTAGTTTTGTATATAGTTTGATCAATTGCAGCCCTAAATCAAACTTTGTTTTAGCTCACAATTCTATAATGTATAATAGCTCGTTTTCGTTACTAACGAACCACCTGTATAACACAATTAACATAGTCTCTTATGTGCTTTACCTTCTTAATATAAATATTTAACAAGGCTAATTTCCATCAGACATTTTAGATTCAAAACGTTTTATGTTGCCTTGCATTCATCGGCTGCATTACTTTAACGCCCGTCATTAGGGCTTTTAATAATTTAAGTACCCATTGAAGCAAATTTGTATTATTGGTTTATGTAATTGCATAGTCAGTAACACCCTTGACTTTGACAAATCATACAGGGACCCAAAGGGATATTATTATGCATTTGGAAAATATAATATAATTTTAATATAATAAACTTGCAATAATGCATTAATACAAAAGCACTGGTTAAGAGAAATCTAAAAAATTAAATATAAAATTATTAATTAAAAAAAATTTTAGAAACAAGCTATTAATCCATCAGTTTATATATATATATATATATATATATATATATATATATATATATATATATATATATATATATATATATATATATATGTATTTTTCTATATAAATATAGAAAGAATTCAATTTAATAATAAAATATTTTTTTTTTCAGGTTGTGAAAGCTGCTAGTCCACTGCTGCTGGGTGTCATAGCTTTGGGGGCATTTTTTATGTACGGCACCGTGAGTATTAACTGTTACAATAAGGTAAAGGCATTAATCAGTCGCAACCCTTGTTTCACTGGCTTTTGTAAAATTAAATATGTTTTCACCTGCTTGCCACTAGGTTATATTTTACACGCAATATATATTGTTTGCATTTGTTTGAACAGAGATAGACAATTCGTGTCAAAAGCATTGTTTTACAAAAAAAGTGTGAGAGATGTTAATAATAAAAAATCTCTTAAGTAGCTATTTAATGTAGTTCTTGGCTCTCGAATATTCCTTCTAATTTACATTCCACATGGACAAATACATAAAAAGTCGAATCAAGTGTTGTGGTTTCATAAATTTTCTAACAAACTGAAATAATAAGCCATAAAAAGTCTCCTGGCACTCTCTATCTTTTACAGTTGGCAGCCCCATGCTATCTGTCTAAAATATTCAATGCTTAAATCCGAACCTGGCTATGAAAAAGCCAATCTCCATTTTTGTCGGTTTGGAGATATAAACATTCTCGAATTCCCTCAACGGAATATTAACTGCATTAAAGAAACTCTTCTTAAAACAAGAATTATTACTTTGTACATCATAAAAACACCTTAAGATTGTTTAAACATATTTATATTTTAGAAAACTTTTTTTTATAATTAGGTAAATATATAATACCTTCAAAAATTTTTATTTTTGTTGTTAACGTTTAAATTAAAATTAAATGTCTCTGATCTTTATAAATGAAGATGTTAAAAAACACGTGCTAATGGAAAAGTTTAATTAACTGTAGAAAAGTATACAGTTCATTTATTAGATTCGTTAAATAAATAAGAAGAAATGCTTTCAATTTAATAAACAACACTGGAATACAAAAGGCAGACGCTTTAATTACTCAGTTAGAGATAAAGTATTTTTTATATCTATATTTAATTCATATTCAATCATCCACCCAAACAATGCCGTGGGTTATCGCTACTTAACAACCTAATTATATCAAAATATATAAAAAAAAATATCGCAAATGGCTTAAAATTAATTAGATTAACCGTATTATTGAGAGAAATATATTAAAAAAGTATTCACCTTAGTTTTAGAGACCTAAAAACATTAATTAATTCTAAAATAAAATAAGTGCAACATAAAAAACTAATATAAATTCCAGTCGTCAAAAACAAGTCTAATCGGTTACAAAAAATAATCTTTTAATTATATGTCTCCAAAATTATAGAAAACTATATAAAATAAAGTAAATATCACACATTAAAAAGAAACTACCATCCCGTAATACTAAGTCTGGAAATAGAGTTTCAAATAAATATTTCCATGTTCCAAACTTTCTCCAATCAGTAATGATTTATCTAGAAGGAAGTAATTTCGCCAAGAATATAATTTATATAGATTCACGAATTAGTCTCCTGGTGTTAGATAGCATGGAATCTCAAAATATTCATGCAAATGAGTTCTAACCCTTTCAGTTACAATATACCTCCAAAGTTGGATCGATTAAACATCGGAGAGCAAATCGAGAACAATTATCGATTCAAATTTCTCAATGCATCAAATATATTTGCAAATACTTGTGAAGTTACGATTCTCATTTTGATAAATAGACAGTTCGTAAAATGATTTAATTTCAAGTTTGGTAAAAGGTCTTTTGGAAAACAGCTCAGAATTAGTATTTTGTTAATAATAGTATATTAATTCTGAGCTTATTAATAATGATTTATTGATTTATTAATACTTTATAATTATTTAGTATCTTAATACAATACAACTATTATTTTTTTAGAAATTACACTGACGAGTACTGATAACACAGCAGAGTAGCAAATTTTCATTTTCTATTAAATTAATATATACAGAATAAAATACATATCTTTAACTAAAATTTAAACAGCACCGCTTTTTTAGGAGTTACAATTACACATACATAATTTTAAAGAATAATCTTTTTTCTATATTTTCGTTGTAGAATGTAGAATGTCTGGGAGGAAGGTTAATCACCGCGAACTTACGGACCTATTGTGTCCCCTTTTCTTGAGTTATAACCAGTTATAACTCATCATACAGTCTCGGGGCTTTGACAAAAGCCAGTATTTGAGACGGTTTTACAGAGGTTAGTTCTCTATTTCCAATATCAGTAGTACCAAACTTCATGGCACGAATGATTGTCGTCTCGGCACACTCAGTCATGTGGTGTTTCCCCATTTTCCCCACAGAATCTGCATTCGCCGTTGTTTCTTAGGTTCAATCTACTGGTTGAGGAGACAGTATCCAGGTAAAAACCTCGTGACAAAACAAAGATTCTTCTTACTTAAATCAAGAAAAATCTTGATTTTTCTCGGTCGTAAGTTCTGAGAAATTTCTTTGAGTGTCTTGACCGTTGGAGGATTCCCATTCCAGGTTACGGATGGAGTCTTCCAGGTTCTTGAGTTCCGCTTTAAGTCGGTTTCCACTTGAGAAGCAGAACGGTTCTGGTCCAGTTAGTGGAGTGTTCGCTCCTTTTCTAGCTAGATCGTTTGCTTTTTCATTGCCTTCTATCCCTTCGTTGGCGGGCACCCAGAGCAGTAGGACTTTATTTTCTTTGCCTAATGTTTTCAGCTTCTCTAGGCATTCTTTAACCAACTTCAAATTGATGGTTACTGGATTTATCGGTAAAAAACAGTTAATAGGCATTGACGGTATCATGTATGTCAGTTTAATAATTATTTAATAGTTTGAAATTGGTTTAATTCTGTCATAATGCAAACGCTCTCCCCAACGTTAACTGAACCAGTTTTTTTATATTTAAGTTAAAGTGTGCTTTCATATTTATATGATTCCAAATAATAATGATTAAAGAATCAGAAATATCAGGAACTGAAAACAATATTTAATGTAACAGCGAGCAACAAGTGTGCAAAAAAGAAGAATTATTAGTGTCTAACTTGAAAGCTAAATTGTTGGGTGATCTATCAAAAAAGAATTTCAAACCATCCAGTATTTAACGCCAAATTAAAAATAAATTGCAAATAATTATATTGCCACGACCGAGTTGTTTTTTATGATTAATCTAAGTGTGCATTGGGATTTATTCGACTCTAGATTATATTGTTTTCAAAATCTCTTTCGCTCCTATTTGCATTTAATTTAATTCGGTAATTTGTTCAAACATTTAACGTATGTGAAATGGGCGTAATTCAATTAAGGATGAAAGATGTATGAGATCGCTCATATCGAGTGTTCTTGTTTTCTAATTATGAAAACGCTCCAGTGTGAACTGCCGGGAATTCGTGAAAATATATATATAGTTGTGTTGCTCGGCGATACGCAAGTACGTTGATAATTTTAATACGTAATCAGCGCTTGTATTATAAATAATTTCCTTCTTGACTAATACCATTACGCCAAAAGCAATGACTCAAAAAATATATTTTTTAGAAAAATTAAATATTTTTTTTTAAAAGACATGCAAAATTCATAATTATATTCCTATGTTTATATTTTACTGAGACAGATAAAAGAAACTCTTAAATATCGTCTATTTATCAACATTCTTGAAGTGAGACTTCTTTACGCGGGATGGGAGTAAAAATTGAAGACAGTGACACACGAAACGCGAGAGAAAAAGTAGTAACGATGGAACGTTACGACGGACGTTGTAACTGGGCCCCTATGTGAGCTAGGGGGCTGAAATTTGGAATGTAAAGAGACCTATCTTTTTATGATATTTTGACGACATTTCATGCACTACGAAACCCCATCATCGATGAGTCAAACCAAAAAATCGTCCGACTTAAATGAAATTTGATGTGTCTAGAATTACGTCTATACGTTCCTCTTTACGTTAAATATTTTAAATATCTCTGTTTCTGAGTATCTTTAAAAAAGGGCCGTTTTTTTTTTCGTTTCAATTTCTATGCTAATAAGAATCTTCGTTTTAAATCAAGAAAAGATATTCTAAATCCTTAAATAATGTCTAGTAACTTAAACTAGCGGTTTTAAATTTATTATGCCACAAATCTTAATATATTTCCGCATTTTTGCTTCTCCGTATTTTACAATACCCAACAGAATTCTAATTTACAAACACTAAATAGAACAAATAAATGTTTGTATTTGAAAATGTCTTTTAATACTTTATTTTTCAACATGTATTTTAAAATTAAGATGAATAATCTTTTGTTTTTTTATATTTTAGCATAAGTTGTTTTGCATTAAGGTGGATTGTATAAAAAACTGTTTCACTGGAATTTCAAATGACAATCCTTGATGATATGACAACCTCTGTCAGGCTAATATCTACAATATATCGTTTATTAAATATTGAGATAAAAAATTGTTAAAAATGAATATTTAATTTAAAAAAAAGTATAAATTGCTACTAGAAGCTTTTAACTAGTGACAACTAACTTGATTTGTGAAAAATGGCATACCCAATAAATGATATATTTATTATCGAAGCACTTTCAACGAATGGATTCTGTAATAGTCAATAATGGAGACTACAATAACACTTAAAATGATCAATAATAGTGAAAACAATAGGTTATTGCCGATTTGAAATCAAAATTAACAATGTTATTAATGGCGATACAACGTTTAGCGTGTTCAATACAAAGGCAAATTCAATACTGTCCGAGATAAATCAAAGGCCCCAATAACGACACAAAAAGAATATTCACTACGGCCCATTACTCTGAGTTTAGTTTTGGCATTCGACAAAAAGAAAGCCTCTAAAATGTCCTTCTACACCAAAAATCTATAAATAAACGCATTAAAGTGTCTCATAAACGGATCTGACGTTACTTTTATCGCTTCATTTTACGATTTGTGAAATAAAGGCGGCGTTAGACGGAATTCTCTCTAACTGTGTATCTGTCATTTTTTTCAGATGATCGTTACTTATTTCAATCCAACCATATATTTTTGTACCGCACGTATTTGGCTTCGAGAGATTGGCTTTGCTCTCACGTACGGTGCTCTGATGCTGAAAACATGGCGGTAAGTGTAATCTTGTTTTTATAATATACGATCAGTTTTTTTTTATTCTAATAGTTCCACTTATAAAATTATAAAACGTCGATAGGTATTAAGGCACTACCATTTTGACTGTAGAAATGTCCAGACATTAGTTGTTTTTTACTTTAAATGGTGATTGCATGAAAATGATTATACAGGGTATTTCAAAAAACATGTGCCATCTCCCGTGGGACGATTCCTCACGATTCCTAAAAATATGAAAAATTATTTTTTATGTAAACATAGATCCGATACTGAATTGTTTTGTAGCTACAGGTGGTCAAAATCTTCATTTTTTTCGACTTATAATTTTTCTTCTAAGTGCTTTTAACAATTCAATTGAAATTTTTAAGGTGGATATTTTTATGCTTAAAGATGTCAACAGATTCACCAAGGACGTGTATATGGGGTACCACTGGAATAATTTTATAAAAAAAAACATATGCACCACTGGCTTTTTTTTTGTTATCAATGCCAATTAAACATTTTCTGTTATTTTGCCGATTTCGGTTTTCTTTGTGACATAACCGCAATTTTATTAATTTGTCTTAATCCAAGTCGTAATGAACGTTTAATTTTTTTTTTAATGTCATTAACTAGCCAAAGTGTTAAATAAATAATCTGTAGCACTGCATACGCGTTTCAGTAATCATGTTAGCATCATCAACTGATGATCGAAAACTCAACATTATTTCTAAATTAAATAATAATTTTCCTTCCATTAAATTTGTCTATTTTAATTTCCTATAAATTGAGAGAAACGATAGTTTACCATTTTTAGATTTATTAGTTATTAGAAATACTAATAATTGCCTGGAATTTGATATCTATAGAAAAAAGATTGCTACACACAGATATATTCCTAATGATTATCATAGTGTTGAACATATAAGACTAGCTACTTTAAATTTCTTAGTTCATAGACTACTTAGTTTTCCACTTACCAACGAGAGATATGATATAGAAAGAAATTACACTAGGAATGTAGCTGAGTTTAATGGATATTCTCCTTCATCAGTTGATAAAATATTTAGAAAACATAAGTGTAAGTTTGCGATTTCTGCAAATTTGACTTTTCAAGTGGAGAAAGATACGTCAAACTATATTTCTGTACTATTTGATAGAGAGTTATCCCGCGATCTAAAATGAATTTTTAAGAATGTCAATTATAAACTTGTGTATAGCACTAATAATAAATTACAATAACTATTAGATCTATTAATCATTATAATGATAAAACACCTCCACTGGAAAGGTCGGGTATTTAGGAAATTTAGAAGATCAGTATTACGTAGATTTAATTTTAATCATCTGCTCATGATGCTAACATGGTTAGTGAAACGTGCGTTCAGTTTTAAATGTAAAGTGTTTTGGTGTATTGCGGTGAATGAGTGTTTTGAAAAGGTTCCAACCCCCAACTGTAATAACACATAAAATTAATTTGATTAATTTTTAAAGAAATTGTACAAAATTAATTACTATTAGAGAGATGTCAATGGTTATCGTAATTGTCAAGAAATGTTAAAATAGGAAATGGGAATCGTCCTATCACATATTAGGAAAAAAATCTAATAAAGCTACTAGGGAGGGCTCCTGACAATCTTGTTTCCCGAAAGCCCTATCCTAAAGCAACTTGGGAGATAGTATTTCAAAGCGACAGTAAAAATCAAAGTTGTGCAAGCCACAAATAACTACAACTGTACTAACAAGTCTGAACTTCTGAAATGCAGCTGGACATTTTATCCGTACAGGAACTCAGTAATGTGTCGTTTTAAGGAAGAATAATAGACATAATTCTCTGTAAGACAGGTTCACAAATTAAATGAAAACATCGCAGACAACACGAACGTTAAATTATCTTTATGAAAGTTTAGAAATTGAAATTTTGGATGACTAGTTATCATTATGAGTTTGCTTAGATAATTTATACACATACAGAAACAATGCATGGCACTCTAAATTTAAACACTATATTTTAATATTACTCCTACTTTTCGCAGGAAAAATCTACAGTATGTCCCCGGATTGTCTTTACAAGAGGAAAAACTTTTTTGTTCTTGACATTTTGAGAAAAATGCATTCTTCATAAAAAAGTGTGCTTATTTTCAAATGGTTAATCCACTTTATGCGATCCAAATTTCCAAACCGTTTTAAAGAAAATAAAAAATAACATGAAATTGGGGAGTTGAATTTTTTCTACCAATATGATTAGAATGTGATTTTATACCAAATACAGTAAAAATATTAGAAAAATTTATTTATTTAATATACCTAATATGTAATATTTATCTGAATAAAAATTAAAGATTAAAAAATAGAAATAATAGAATAAGATAAATATTTATAGAATAAAAAAGTTACAGGGGTGAGCCACTTTTGAAAAACACCCGAAATACAAACAAAAAATTTCATAACAGTTTCTAATTCTTATGTTTTTGGTACTAGAAACAATACAAACACATTTAAAAATCATCCATCAAGAGAAAGATAATAAAATTGACTGTTCAGTATTGGTACAATTAATTTTTAGGTGGATACATTAATCCAAAATTAAAAGTCACAACCGACGAAGCCAATATTTTGTTCGTTTTTAACAGCCACCATTAAAGCATTTGATTTATGACAAAAAGAACAGCAAGCTTAAAACGGTAGAAATCCGAAGCCAAATATGCTAAATATCGAAGAGAATAAATAAGCAGTTGAATTTTTAATCTAAAATTTAACAGATGGCGAAAAGTAGTTTTTACCAAACTAAAAACATCTATTATACCAAATCATTATATTTTTTTCTCCCCATCTGCCCCTAGTATTGAAATGTTAAAATAACCTCCATAAAAAAATACTAACATAAATTAATTAGTATATTTAACGTATGTGTTAATTGATTATTAGAAAATTATGCAATGTTATTTTAAAATAATTATATAATTATTGAGATGAAATAACTAATAAATAATTAATTGCATTTATAGTAATAATAATGGTGCTCTGTTAGTAACATCAAACGAAACAATAAATATTATGTAATATTTTTTAATGCTAATAAAAATCGAAATTATTTGGTATTTCTAATAGAAACAATTATTATTGTTATTTTTAGGACAGAAAATATACTAATTTATTATTGCAACATCTCTTAACAACATATTAGTTATATATAAAACCTCTTAACAGCACACATGTTTAAAGGGATTTTTCGATTCATATGTTACGTTCAAAATATTTTAAAAACTACCATCTCGCCATATCGCGCACCCGAAAATAGAAGATGCGGTTTAGACTTAAGACTTAAGCGGTTTTCTTTGAAACTGAAATAAACTTTTTTAAAAAACACATATATTTTGAAAACATATTGAGTTTTAAAGAATTACGAATATAAATTTGGCAGTTACTCTCTTTTATTTGGAAAAGTCAATACGACATACATATGTCTTTTTGTGAGTTCCACTACATTAAACATAAGTCCCTTCTAAGCATTGGCGAGCTTAATCCAAACTTTTTTTCTCAATTTTTTATGATTAATTTTCTGTAGATATCCAATCAAATTAGATCGTTATCAGTTCGTGGCGATAATGAGAACGAAATAATCAAATTGATCAATTGATAATCAAAATAGATATCAACATTATTTTGCTACTTTTCCCTCCAAATAATAAATTTTACTGCATTTATTATGAATATGTCAACAACAACACACTTATACATAATGAAATAAACTACAAAATTAATACATTATAGCCTTGGCCTTAAAATTAACTAAACTAAGTAATCTTTTGAACTCCTCACTTTAGTGAACGAAATTGAAAGTTGGAAATCAGTGCAGTGAAGTCAACTTCCCACCTATAAGGCAGACAAATTACTAATTTCTGGTACAAGTATAAGGTCGGCTATATTGGGCTATTTGTCGTTGCACGGTTTTATGTCCAGCTGTGGAAGAATAGCAGGTGGCTGTTGTTTCGCCACAGCTGCTGCAATGTCATAGTATGACGACAACAAGGCCCACGGAGCGGCGATTGTTTTCAGAAACCGCACAAACCTCTCTAATGAGACCTTGGGGACCGAAATGCATGAGAAACTTCTCAGAAACAATGAACATGGCAGAGATTTTGCCTATTGCGATGTAGAAACAGGAAATTATGGATGGGGATATCGCTAAGAAACATTCTCTAACTATATAAATATAAACTTTATAAATTATGAAGAGTAATAAATAGTTTTACTCACTTTTGTTTCATAATATAACGGATTATTAACTAGTAAGAGTATCGACGAATTGAAAAAAATGGAATTACTGTTATTATCTATTAAAATGGAGATTGACTTGAGCCGAGTACTGTAGGTAATAACGCTTGTTCGCTGCTCGCGAGTCGATACGCAAAAATCTCATTTCAAATGCTTGGCTGTCAATGCTCTATTATTTTTCTATCATATTTTTTGCGATATTGTTTGGTGAATAATAAAAGTTTGTCTTCAGACAACTCCATTTATTATAACGGGTGCGTATCAAAAGTGGCTCACCCCTATAACTTTTTTATTTTTTCAGATAAAAAAACGAGATTTGGTATGTCAGTATATGACATAAATTAGGATTGATTGACGTATTCAGTTATTTTTGGTCACTTCCTGTATCACAGAAAATGACTACAACTTTTGAAAATAGCACCCTGGGTATTTTTTTTTACTTTATTTGATAGAAAATGACATTCTGAATAGAATGACATATCATATGTCAACTTTTGACATTCTGGCTTAATGAAAAATCGTATTTTAAAATTCAATCTAGATTACCATGGCTATGTTAAAAACACTAATTCTTACTCAAGGAGCCTTGGAAAAATAGATTTGATCGTCTAATGTTTTTAGTGTCTTATCCTGACAAGTTAGAAAATGCTGAAATTGTATTTTTAATCATATCTCAATTTTTTCAAATGGAACGAGGGTGGCTCATTAGGATATTTGGAAAAAGCATTTTTTTACGAATAATTTGATACCACACACTTATTTCGAGTCAAATTTTCGTTACCAACCGCAAGTTATAATTTTAAATAAACCACATACGAAAATGTCAAAAGATGACATATGATATGTCATTCTATTCAGAGTGTTATTTTCTTTCGAATAAAGTAATAAAGTAATATATATATATATATATAATAAATAATAAGTTAAATATAAACTATGATACCAATCGTAACCAATCGGATGTAGAAAACTTAAAAAATGTTACATTATATCTACTATTTATCCTATCCTAGTAGTCTATTAAGTCACAATGTATTTCTTAAATATTAAATTATGCAGTTATTAAAAATAGCAGCTTTTATTTCCAAATTAGCCCCCATAATTTATTTATTGAGAGTCTGACGTTTTAATCTCCAAATTTACACCCTATTATTACCCCTAATTGGGCCGTGATTTATTTGAATTTTTAAATTTTACGGACTTGATTTGCTAGTTACAATGCGGAAAAAAAAACGTAAATCACTGTACATATCAGTGTTTTGACTAAAATACACAATATAAAAATAAATTACAATCTTCTTAAGGCTGGCAGTAAGTGCCATTAAAAAAATAAAAAAGACAACGTGCCAAGTAATGACGTCTAGTGCTTGACTTCGCAAAAATTATAATCGATTGTCATTCCCCAGTCGTTTTTAACGCCTTTTTTTCAGTCGTATAGTACTTTGGTTTAAAATATGAAAATTGAATAGATGAATTATTAACATGTGAAGTGTCTTGGAAATGTTAATTACTAAAGCATACTTGGGATATGGTTTGGTTGGATATTACGTATAAATAATTTCAAAATTGTGTGTACATTTTAACACACTATTTCATTTTTACTTAACTGGCCAAGCTTGTAGAACAATTAATAATGGGAAAAATAAAACAAAACTCCAATTTGTATCGTGGCGTTCGATTAGCTGACCAAACTGAGCAAACAAATTAGAGTTCATTTTCTAGAATGCAGTGTTAATAGTGTAACGCAGTAGAATAGAAGTTACGGATATTTAAAAGTTAAGAGGCATTGAAAGTATCTAAAATTTAAACTATTCATATAATAATTCTCCAACAAACTAAAAAGGAAATGTGAATCATAGTGTGGTATATTATAACAAGAATCTAATAAAACTACTTACAATAAACAGCAGTAATAACAGGCCACATAAGCTATATAATATTAATTGCATGAAATAAACTTCCCGTATTATTGTCAAAGCTTCATTAAAATTTCAGGAATAATCTTACTGAAGGCTTTATTGTGATAAAAAAGTTACAGATTCAGAATGAAACAATTTAGTATGCCAATCGGCGGTAAAAATCTAATTATAAGCGAATTTTGTCGTAAGAATCTGACAATTTAATCAAAAAATGTCCTCGTCTGCAAGACAATGCCAACGCTTCTCGTGGCATTTATTTCATTCTTCTTCTTATATGGCGGAGGCCTCAGAAATGTTTAATTAATGGAAGGAGAAGTACAATTCAAGTAATGAATTCTGCATATATTTCGTTTCCGTGCCGAACCGATTTAGTTTCTAGAAAGAATTGCTGGTTACTTTCATGCCCTTTGAATAGGGATTTTATACGTCCAGATTTACCTGGGCATGTCCAGATTTTTAAGGTGACCGAGATGGACATGGACAGGCCGGAATTAAAAAAAATGTCCGAGAAATCAAATTTTAAAAACTCAACTTTGTTGAATGTTTCAATCTTACGGTCTGGTCAATGTTTTCGTTCTCGGTGCACCTCTTTTACAATTCACTTTTTTGCATATGAATTGTAAATTCTTTTGAATAGACTTACCAGACTTTGCATAGAGCTGTAACAAATCATGTGGTTTAATGCGAAAAATCTTTATACTTCCAGAATATCCCTCATTTTCCGAGTCCGATCAGCCAAAAAAGTAAAAATCAGCGATATGGGCCTACTCAGAAGATTGGGTGTAATAGTGTTCATTTTTGCATCAATGCTGGTCGTACGTACAATTGTGGCACCACCTATAGTGACAGTTGGCAAAACTGAAGACGATTTGAAGGCCTACTTGTGCCGCACCGATCTTTGGGACAATTTTTTCAGTGTTGGTAAGTAAACAACAGTAGTTTTTTCTTTGCTAGAAACATTTTTAACCCGTGCATCCAATATATCATTAACTATCTAAATCAGCACCTCTAATCAACATAAATTTGGGACATTAACCATGAGCGTGAAGAGCCAGAGCGTTTTCAGGCTATAGCGTTTCCAGAGCTGCAAGCTCACAAAAAACTTGAGTGATTTTTCGAGAACTGACTTAAAACTTAAAATTATTTTTAAACTTACTTGTGATTTAAGTGCTTATTCCGAAATATTATATATAAACATCAGATAGATGTAAAAATTATGTTGTTGTAATAATTTTTTATATGGTGGGATATAAACAACTGTTTTTATACTCTTCACGTGCTTTAATTTTGAAATATTTATATATTATATTGACTCATAATTATAATAAACTTTATTTCCACTATAATGGTTTTAACCTAGATCGGTTTTATTTATATCTCTATTTCAAAATCACCCATTTCTGTTATTTCGACTTTTGATTTGAAAAGCAGCAGTAAACTTATCGAGAGTACTTCAGCTTTACAATAAAAATCGGATATAACTTAAAAAGGAGTTATACTACTTTTCCTTTAATGACCAAGAGTTTCCAGTTACATTTTATACAAAATTTAAGTTGGATCAGACGAAGATGCAATCATTTCAAAATAGTACGTTTTTATTTAACTAAATGTACTTGATACAATTAGCAAATTATAATATTACTTCTAAATCTAAAAGTATACCCTAAATCATATTTATAACAATATAGAAAGATTTTAAAAATTTCAATATAAAATTAAGAAGAAAAGTTTATTTTATATTGGTTAGAATGTATTTCAGTTTAATAAAATGTTGTATAAGCTGAACATAAGTAACCAGCAGTATTTTTTTTTAAGTTTGAGAGAAACTCATGTTTCTTAATATCATCTCTAAATATGCTAGCCTATAATGTAATGTGGTACACCAAATTTGATTATATTTCCAAAATTTCGAGTTCTGTCAAAATTAATCTTTGCAAATTTCAACATCCTCTATTTTTTAAAACATACTATTTTTGATCCCATACTGATTTGATTTGTCACTCTGAAAAAATCCTGGTATTTTATATATTTACCAATTATTAATATACTTAAAACTAAAATATCTTGGAAATGATTTTTTTTCCAAATATAGTATGCCCTTAAAATCTTAAAATAACTCTCAAAAATTTGGTTATCTTTCACATACCTACTAAAACGGTATCAGATGTTGACACCATATTCCAATAAACTTTTAAGTAGATGGAAAACATCTAGTAAAAGTTTGTTGGCACAAATACTTCATAAGTTTAAAAATGTTTTAATATATTTCGATTTGGGGTATTCTGCAAGTGTTTGAGAAATATATAAAATATCTCATTAATTTTACGTTGCAACTACAGTGTTTAAACGGATATAAAACAGACCCAGCCAGCTTTGGAATTGCATTTTAAATTCAAATTAATGCAATCTTAATTGTAGATTATTCAAAGAATACTATGAGACAATTAGCTGGACATTTTGTTTAAAACTAATCTCAATAATTACCCAAGTTTTTTTGTAATATTTTTTTTAATTTTACACTTGTCATCCTTCAATTACGATATAAAACTCAACAAGGAAAATATAAATTTATCAAATTGAGTTATTTAAATACACGAAAAATATAGTAAGAATAGTGTAGGATAATTTTGTTTCAAAATTTATAGAAATTTAAAAATTTAGGCTAGGAATGATATTGTTTTTAATAGTATTAGTGAATTATTTAAGTGATACTTATTTGATAACAAATTTTTAACACATATCTCTCTGAACATCACGTCATCAAGTAATACAGTAATGCAAAAATAAGTTCTCTCTATGTCTCTATCCTTTTAAAATGTTTATAAAAGCTAAAAATTCCTGGCGGTGACACTTCCAGAGATTTACGAAGGTTTACTTTGTTGTGTGGACATTTTAGTAAAAAGAATCTTTCCACAAGTATATGAAAAAAAGCTGTTCCCTTATTTTTCCAAATAGCAATTTTTACACAAAGTTCTAAAGTGATTTACATGGTTTTATGGCATATTTACTAGAAAAAAAGCTTCCAGCATGCTTTTATAATAAAAATAAAAACATATTTGGCACAAACTCAAGTTACACCTATATTATCCTTGGTGTTAGCAGGATCCAAAAAAGATCTATAAAACCTTGCAAAAAAGCATAGAATAGGGGAATAAAATCGTAACATATAAAGATGTCATAATAACCTATAAAAGGTTTATACCGTAAGAAATTGTCGATGGTTGAATTGATAGATGAATGCTGAAAAAAACCAGGCCATTTATATGATCTATTATCATTAACTAAATCGGGATTAATTTAATACGTATCATACTCCAAAATATATATTGTTCAATGGAGAAATATGCAGAGTGAGATATTTTGGATAACATTTTAAAATATTTTTTATAATTCTCTTTTGTGTAATAGTGTATTTTTAAACTAATGGAGAAGAGACCCGCAATGATTTACCTACATTTGAACATGAAATCGGCATCTCAAAATGAAATAAAAGAAGTAAATAATTTTCTAAACAAATCAGGATATCCAAATACTTTCTTCCAAGCAAGTAATGCAAAGAGTCTCAAATACGATTAAGAATGGCTAAATATAGGTATTTTTTCGACATTTTCCATACAATATAGTCATGAAAATTAGCGATTTTGGTAATGTTGCCTATTTTGATAAAAGTATTATTATTTCTTAAAGTATTATTATTTCTTAAAGTAATATTATTTCTTATTTTTGATGTAGGCAAATTCATTAAAAAAAAAAGATCATCAAAATTAGCTCACAAACTAGGGTTGAAAAAATACATTTTTTAATAATTTTCCTAATATTTTTATATGTGCTAAAAGCCCTTCCGCGTCGTAGGAGGAGCCATCCTGTACACAGAGAGGAAATTTGAATTGAGGACAAGCAAATGCGGATTTTCATTAAAGTAAATGCTGGTAAATTAGGGTTTACCACTACTTCTTAATTAGAGATAGTGTTTACTTGGTTCCCTTAAAAGTTAAGCCACTTTGATGAAGATGTCGTTGACGCACTTAATTCTCAATTTTTAATTTCCTTCGTCAAAGACAAGCTGTGTAGGCGAAGGCTAAGCTTAGTTTGGCTTAGTTTACTTCACTTCAGCTAAACGTGGCGAGTTAATTAACAGCACACTGATCCTGTAGGATCCTCGTACTAAATATCCCCCTTTTTTAATCATACCGCGATACTCCTATCGCATTCTGTATTAACCCTAAAATTAAAGAGTCTGATGAAGTCTTTGATTTGTCATGAAACGTTATTTGGGGAGGAGTATACAGGGTGTTATAGATAAAATTCCGACCGCAGCGCTTCAACAGAAAAAATTTGAAATTATCAATAGATAGTTCACGCCGTTTTTGCTATGTATTTCACACAGTCCCGGTTACAGTTCAAAAAAAGATCGCATTAAAATAATATTAAAATCGTGGTTTTGTCATAATATTTAAGTATTTTGGTTTTTTGCTAGTGCAGTATTGAAACTATAAATTCACACTCAGGTACGAGATTTGTGTGATGTAACGCTGTTTCGGGTAGTAAAAAATAAGTGAAAAAGAATTCGAACTAGCCGCCGTGTTATGTTATGACAATTTCTAATGTTAATAAAATTGCCGAAAAAAAAATGGTAACTCGTAAAGGAGAGCGTACTTAGGCCGTTGTTGGGTGCCTATAGGGAAGGTTGCAGATGAAGATGCACAGTTTAATTTTTTTTATTACAGAGTATTCGTGGTTTATATATTTAATTTTTTTTATGCAACACCTTATTTTTTATTTTATTATTAAACTCTGTGTGTGTTATTTACCTAAAATTAGTAGTTTTTGTAATATTTTAATTTGGAATTTTCCGGTATCCTGGTGGATTCATCAAACCCTGAGCGTTAACACAAAAAATAAATAAATATATCATTTGCATTAAAATATGTTTACAACTGTTAACTAAAACTGAATTTTCTCAATCAAGTAAATACAAATAAAGTCGTATCATTTAATTATCGTATCATTATATCGTATTTCGCAATTCAATTATAATTTTCCTTTGTGCAACAGTTAACCGTAAGTCTTCTAATCAGAGTAAAATAATTTAGTAAACTGTAAGCCAGGAAAGTAGTTACTGCAATCCCCCCAACTCTATATACAAATATTTGTAGCTATAAACTGTTACGTTAAATATTAATGTTTGAAAGTTTATAGTTTTATTGGTCGAAATAATTCAAAATAATACCTACATCTTGTGGAATAAATTAGTGTTTTATATATCTTCTGATGTTTATAATACTTTATTTAAGTTAAGTATTTAAGGTATTAATGTTCCAATTTAATATTGAAATCATTACATACTTTAACATAGGTAATAATAATTTATATTTCATTCAAAACAGTTTCATTAACCAAATATCAATTAATTTTTATCTATCAACGGCCCAGCTACGTCGAAACAGCGGTTCCTGGTAGAACACCGAAATTAAGCGACCTTAGTGAATGCACCTGGATGGACGGGTGACCATCTGGAGACTCTGTCGTTGCTGTTGTTTCGTGGCAAGAGTATAAAACCTATTGAGACACACTGCTCGTTCACGCCGGTTCGAGACCAGATGAGATCGGATATGTCATAAGACTCGTGAGTAAGTGTCGATTTAGATATTCGCCAGATCGGTAGGTCATTGACGATGATATAGCTGAGAATCGCGGTTCGGATTCCGCGTAAACAAAGTAGACCCCGTTCAGATTAGCCTTAACAGAAAAAGGGAGACTTTAACTCAAAATACTTTACATTAATTTTTATCTCAATCAAATAATAGTCTGTTGAATATATTGTTTATTAAAAATGACAGCTTCAGAAAATAAACTACCCTATTAGTGAGATGTAGAGAAAAATAAATTTCATCCGTCTGGCAATTTGTCAACTATAGAAA